GGAACATGTCACCGTTTCGTCATTTGGTTGCGGCTTTTAGCTCCGTTTCTTTGCACTGTTTCCTAGTAGGACCAATTACCAAGCCATAGGAATCTGTTTGACCTCGTTCGCCCAACTACGCCGCCGTTGACGCTTGTTTGTGCGTTGCATGCCTGGTATCTGTGCAAGGATGGGCCGGTGCGGAACATGTCACCGTTTCGTCGTTTGGTTGCTGCTTTTAGCTCCGTTTCTTCGCACTGTTTCCTAGTATGACCAATTACCAAGCCATAGGAACTTGTTTGACCTCGTTCGCCCAACTACGCCGCCGTTGACGCTTGTTTGTGCGTTGCATGCCTAGTATCTGTGCAAGGATGGGCCGGTGCGAAACATGTCACCTTTTCAATGGATGGTCGTATTTTTTAGCCCTATGTATTCTCACACTCCTATAGTAGGACCCAGTACCTTGCAAATGAACCTGATTTGGGCTCATACGCCCAACTTCGCAGCTTGCGATGCTTGATTGTGCGTTGGATCGTTGAACTTTAAGCACGGATAGGTCCGGTTGCAACATGTTTTGCGTTCAAACTCAAATGTTCTCCACTTCCATTTAGGCTAACTTAATCCCAACTTCAAGTGCCAGCTTCTTAATTAGTAGACACCGGTATTCAGGAGCTTGATTCAATGGTGAGAGAAGGTGGTTTATTGTTAGTGGAATTTGCAGTTACAGTTCAACATGGGTCGTTACTCAATGTAGTCAGCACTTACTATCGCGTCCCGGGTTACACATACACAACACGCTAAGGGCGCGTGTGATCTTTTTTCGAACTTCCCAAAGTTCGAAATTTTAGAAACGTTTTACACGGTAAAATACAACTAAGAGACTTTTCGCCACAGTGCAAAACGGTTTGAGTTCAAACTTAGACCAGAAACCACAGATCACACGCGCCCTAAGTCCTGCTCATTTTCGCAGCTGTGCCTCGCTGTCGCAACTTCACGAGGCATGGTTGTCATCGACCACGCTGACGCGGCAGAAGGAATGGTTGTTCACGGCGCCCGAATCAGCTGTGACTCCTACATGTAAATCTGCCGAACCTGGCAGGCAGCACGGCGGGGACGTTGACCGGACGTGCACCAAACCACCCAGTACCCACAAAGTGGTGCACGTTCGGGTTCTTCCCCTCCAATCCACCCTCCTCATCCTCCTCAACGCCCCCTCTGCGATCCCCCTCGACAGTTCAAACTGAAGTTTGAAATTTCAAACTTCAAACCCCACCCTCCTTCCACCACTTCAATCTCCCTCACCCATCCCCCTCGTTACCGCCACACATCGTTATTGGCATCAATCGGGGCATCAAGCAGGCCCTCACCGTATCTCGTCGCGATGCGTAGGCAAGGTAAGAGATGATGTTCCAGGCGTATCTCCTAAGAGCTTGTCGTATAAATAGCCTTTGTTGCTGGAGTGTTGCTATCAGGTACTCCATCTCTAGCGATTTAGTACTTATAGCTTTCAGTAGCTAATAATGGGCCGTGCTCGTTCATTCAGCGTTCCCGCTAGTATGCAGATGGCGGAACCGTTACAGACTTCCATTCCGCGCAAGAGCAAGGACAATCATGCTTTTTTTCCAGCTAACAAAGGTAAGCGCTCTCTTTGGTTTGTGCTTTTTATTTTATGGTCACCTTGTATCAACTGCTGTGTTTTAACTACCTTGTTCTTCTTTCCCAGACGGTGATACTCTCGACGCAGCCATGACTGGCGCTCGATCTCGCAAGCGCGGCTCCAACCGTCAAGGCGAGCGAGCCCACGGTGTCAAACGTGCTGCGGTCTTGGGAAAGTCTAGTGCTGCCGCCGCATCACCGACTACCACTACCGATCCTGTTCCAGGCGCTGCCATTTCTGCTCATGCCGCTGCCTATCATGCGCCTGCCGCTGCCGATCCTGCTCCTGCCGCTGCCTATCTTGCTCCTGCGGCTGCCGATCCTGCTCCTGCCGCTGCCGATCCTGCTTCTGCCGATGCCGACCGTGATCCTACCGCGGTGGGTGCAGCTACTGCCACTGCGGATGCTGAGGAGGAAGAAGAGGGCGAGCTCTTCGGGGACGTAATCGCGCAACCGCTTCAGGGGAACGGCCAACGTGGTAAGCTTTGACGCGCATTCTGGTCGTGTGCCCAACTATACCGTATACTTACCTCTGTTCCTCCGTGCCATGCAGGCCTCACCCTCTATGCCCGTACCATGAAGCAGGCGGGCGTTAATCCCAGTCCAGAGGCCGATGAGTTTCATACCGAATCGCGCCCAAACAAGGTCAATCAGAGCCTTCGTGCGCAGGCCGCCATTGCTCGCGAGCATGTCGAGTTGCTGCAGACCGACTGCAAGACCAAGGACGTGCAGATCCTGAAGGCTCTTGGCATCGCCGGATCTCTCGCTGATGCTGTGCTCCTGCAGAAGATTGTCAGCCTAGATTTCGAGGTGAGTTTCTTTGACACGCTTTCGTTTTAAACTGATGGGTGTCTTCTGTTCACTCCGGTTTATACCCTGACGGGTGTTTTCTGTTGCTATTGCAGAGAATGATGTCGGAAACCGTCAACGATTTCCTCTTCGACGGCGACCACATGAACATGGCGCCGAAGAGGAGTGATGTTGTTGAACGTTTAGTCGGTAAGCAGACGAGTCGTGTTTCTTCTGCTATTGCTCCTATTTATGTTTCTGACTGCCGCCCGTTCTTTTACTTCGCACAGCACATGCAGGTTTCACATGGGGCAGCGATGAGGCTTCGAGGCTGGTGGCGCACATGAAAGACAAAGACATCGTCAAAAAGACAGAGAAGCGGTTCAACAACCGCATTGGCAAGATCTACGGAGGTTGCAGGAGGAGCTTGCGGTTGGTACGGGGCGCGCGGCTGTTCGTGATTAAGCGTGCTCCGAATGGCACCATCCGAGCTGTGGAGCCAGACGATTTCGCCGCCCGATGCCATGCTTACGTGGCTGTGTATGGCAGCAGTAAGTCTTTATCCGTGTTTACCTTTGTAAACTCTCTTTCGTCTTGTTTTCAGCAACTCAACATAAATGTTGAGTTTTTTAAACAGTGACATAATAAAGCAGCCTGTACTTACTCTGTCATTATTGCCCGTTCTTTGCTTTGTGGCTTGTCACAGGGCTGAAGGGCATAGAGTGGCACCTGCTTAATGGCCACCCTTTTTCCAGCCCAGCGTTCATGGCGTGTGCGCGCCTGTTTGTGACAGAGGAAGACCCAGACCGCCCACTTGGGATCTATGCGGCACAGCTCCTATTGATTCTGGCAGTTGTGAGTCTTAAACCCTCTGTAATGCAAAATTTTCTTCTCTATGTTCTGTCTTACAGGCTCGTTGTGTTGTTGAATGTGTTCAGGTCCGTTTTAAGCTACGTCACCCCACTTGCAACAAGCTTCAGCTTGGTCGCTCTGGTGACACTCTCGCCATCTCCAGACAAACGCGCATTGTGCAGCGCTATATCAACAGCATGGGCCGGACTGAAGGTGACTTCATAGGCATAGGGCGCATCTGTTTGGCGCATTGGGTGACCATCCCCCAGGAGGCTCTGGATGCTGATGTCCTGGGGGATGAGGATGCAGAGGATGAGTTAGATGAAGATGAGGTGGTAGACGAGGATTCTGAAGATGAATCCTGAAAATGGATTTTGTATGCATTGCATTTTTATTTATGCGTGTTTTTATAATTACAGGTTTTATTACGAAAATATTCATATTCCGCTATTTAGGTCCCCGGAACGCATTTAAAATTGTACGCCCTAGAATTTATATTCTACATGTTACTGGTTTTAAGTGTACTCTAGTAACTAGGGTTACAAGTTAAAGGTAACTTCGATTTTGTAACATACATTGAACTGTACCTTGGTGACACGGGTTACGGATGTAACAGTAACAAGAAATGAGTAACCCCTGAGCTACAGTATCGCCGCTTCGGTCGCGAAGTGATCCGTTGTGAACAAACTTCGGTTTGCGTAACAGCACAATGTTTTAGCGATGTTAATTCAAAATCTCTGAAGTGGGGTGCTATGCTACAATGACGAGTCCCTCTATGAAGAATAGTCACACCTCGAATCATTCACAATTGTTTGAGAACAACCCGAAAATCTCGATCTGGAAAAAAAAACGTACCGAACTCTTATCACGCAATCGGCTATGTACAGTAGTTGCGCGCTTTGGGAAATGCCGAGTTCGATTGTGGAGTGAAACCTGGGGTTGGGAATGATGCCGCGTGGAATGTCGAAATCAACCTGCAGGTGACACGCTGTAAGTGTGTATTGCAACACGCCAATCCCAGGCATTGCAAAAAAACTCCCAGCGATGCCTATCAAACATCAAGCCACTGGATGGCATGCTGTTTGACACACAGGTATAGGTTCCGATGCTTGCTTATTGTAGACACGAGTGAGAAAGCAGAATGCGAACCGAAGTTAATCCTTTCTTTAGCGTACAGATCATCGTGACCGTAGGCCATCGTTATATTGCGGATGGACGACAGTAGAGTCCGCCTGTCGTTGCGACACGGAGCGTCAGTCGTGGAAATATCCCAGCGCCTCGAGTCGTTCTTCGTCAAACTCGAGGCTTCTCCACCCGCCACGTATCCGCGATAGCGGAAGCGCGTCCTAACGACCGCGACTCGCAACAGTTACTAGCTCATACCACATCGCAGGCTGAGGCTGCGCTGACGACAAGCGACACGCCTTCCGCTGCCTGCGAAAGTAGTAGTTTTCGCAGAGGCGTCGCGTGCATCGCCAACGTCGCCTGCGAGTCAGAGGGTTGCGGAGTCGTGGGGGACCTTAGGATGCGGAAAGTAGGAGTAGTGGCGGAAGCGGAACAGCGCGCAGTAGCAGCGTTGCGCAAACAAACGCCGCTCGTGGAGCTGCGCACTGCGCCTACCGCTACAGAAAGGGAACTGCACACATCCGATGCTTTGCGCGCAGCCGCTGGTTTGCAAACAGACGTCACGGATGAGTTGCGCTGCCCGCGTTTGGCGGAGCTTTATGAGGTTGGGCGCGAGTTGGGCCGCGGCCATTTCGGGGTCGTGCGACTGTGCGAAGACCGTGCGACGGGCGAGCGATTCGCGTGCAAGACGATACTACTGAGCGGCGTGCGGGTGAGTCGCACAATCATTTTGTCACATCCCAAACCTCGCCCCCCCTACATTCGCCGCGCCAGGCCTCCCTTCGGCCATCACCGGCTCTCAGCGAGCCCCTCTCTCTCGCCTATTTCTCTCCCTCCCACCCTTTCCTACTCCCCTTCCCTTCTCTCTTCAGTGGTTTCGTGAAGCTGTGGGCGGAAGTTTCGTCGCGGCTGTCTGCGAAGATACCCCCCTTTCCCCCTTCCTCCTCCCCCTCATTTATCCCTCCCGTAACCCTTTCCGCACCCATTCTTTCCCCTTCTTTCCTGTCCCTTCCCGCAACTCCCGTTTTCCCTTCCACCCACCCGCCCCCCTCCTTTTTGTCAGCGCCCCTTCGATCTCATGAAGCTGAGGGCGTAAGTTCTCTCGTTGCTGTCTTCAAAGGAGCCTCTCAACCTATCTCTCCCCCCTCCCCCCCCCCTCCCTCTTTTAATCCTTTCCGCCCGTCCTCCCCCCCCCCCCTCTCTTCCCCAGCTCCCCAACGATCTCATGGAGCTTGGGGGCGCAAGTACCTTCAAAGACGCCGTGCCCCTCAAACCCCCATTCCCCCTCCATTCCCCCCCCGAACTCTCTATTTCCTCCTTCACCCTCCCCCTCTTCCCCAGTGCCGCACCGATCTCATGGAGCTGAGGGCGGAAGTGCTGTCGCTGCTGCGCCTGCAGGAGGGGGAGGGGGAATGGGGGGGGGGGAAGAACAGGGGGCAGGGGAGCAGGAAAAGGGGGAATGCGGAGCAGGAAGCGCGGATGGGGAGCGGGAGGAGCTGGAGTTCGTACGGTTGTACGAGGTGGTGGTTGAAATGGGGATGGCGTTGCATCTTATTCTGGAGTACTACCTGGGTGGCGATCTGTTTGACCTCGTTATAAGGCAGAAGCGGCTTACCGAAGCACAAGCCGCCGCTGTATTCAGGTATGTATCCCGCGCATACGCACCCTCATTTATCGCTACCACCCTTAGCCTCTGTAGCAACGATCTATTTGACCTTGTTATAACACAGGAACGAGTTATCGAAGCACAACTTGCAGCTCCGTTCAGGTGCACGCCCATCCCACAAAACCCCTTTATGTCCTCTGATCCCCCCCTTTCTTCACTCAACCAACATCCTACCGCCTCAAACAAGAGAATACAGGCATAAGCTGGGTTGAGGGGTACAGAAGGCGTTCTGTTGTGATCCCCGTGCGTGCCCCCTTCATCCCTTCCCTTACCTCCTACCCACTTTCCTCATTCCTCATCCTCCTCTTACACACCATTCCTCCCCCCAACCCCCCTTTGTTCCCCCCGTCCCATCCCCCCGCCGTGCATGAGTTCGCCGTTGTTCATGCCCTGTGTTGATTTCTCCCCTGCCACAAGGCATGTCAGGAGTGTCAATTCTCAACTACCTCACACCCGCACTCACCACTACCCCTTCGGAGACCATTCTGACTGCTGGATTCTCAGTTGCTCCTTGCCCTTCTTGCCTCCTCCTTGCCTCCTATTCCCCATGCTGTTCCCCCCAGGCAGTTGCTGCTGGCAGTGCACGCCATGCATCGCATAGGCATAGTGCACCGCGACCTCAAGCCAGAGAACATACTCGTTAGTAGCGGTCCCGGTGCTTGTAGAGGCCTTTGCACTGTAGCTGAGTGCAACTGCAGTGAAATTGAGGGTATTAGAAGCAGTGGGAACTGTAGTGGGGGGAAGCAGCAACACGAGCCAGGGATGTTCCCATTGCAGGGAGGGTTTGAATACAGTCACATCCAGTGATACGCCTTGCAGTGGTGACACGCCTCCCTCGTTACAGTCACTTGAAGATTCCACAAGTTCAGTCCCGTCTTCTGCTAGACATAGCAGCAGCAGCACAAGCACTGGGAGGAGAAGCAGCAGCAGCAGTAACAGCACAGGTAGCAGCACAAGAACTTCTTTCCAGACTTCGCCCTCACCTACTCTCCCAGCATCCTCTCCTTTCCTCCCGCTTCCCTCACCACCTCCTTCCCCTGCTCTCCCTCCATCATCTCCCTCCCCTGCTCTCCCTCCATCATCTCCTTTCCACCTGTCACAAACCTCCCAGCCACCATCCCCCTCTCCCTCCTCCCCCCATCTTTCCCTTCCACCCTCTTTTCCCACCACTTCCCCTCCTCCTCCTACACCTAGTCCCCATCCTCTCCCTCTTCTCTGCTCGTCCCCTCCTCCCACTCACTCCACCACTGCCACCAAACCACCTCCCTGTCCCTGCACGGGCATTCAAGTGAGGGTGGCTGATGCCGGCCTGGCAGCCACGCACTTTTCTCCCACTGCTTCTCCTCCTCCTCATACCGTCACGGCAACCAGCCCCCCTCCCTGTACCTGCACGGGAATTCGAGTGAGGGTGGCGGATTTCGGGCTGGCAGCAACGCTGTCACGCGGGCAGACAGCGGCGTGTGGGGTGGTGGGCTCGCCCTTTTACATGGCTCGTGAGATCATCCGGGGGAGGCCGTATGCGGGGGAGGTCGACATGTGGAGCCTCGGCTGCGTTCTCTACACCAGCCTGTCAGGTATGTTGCGAATCATACACAAGTATGAATTGGTAGTCTGGTACGTGCCTGTGAGATCAAGTATGCTAGTAAATATGCTTGCCGTTTTTTTCTCCCTCAACTTTTCGCAATTGCTGCATGGTTTCGTGTTTTTTCTGATCTTTCAGGCTCCGTGCCGTTCCAAGGAAGGACACACTGCGAGGTTTTCGCTTCGGTGCTAGGCTCGGCGCCGGACCTGAAAGGCGAGGTCTGGGAGGGCATTTCGAGGGAGGCTAAGCAGCTGTTAAGGTGTCTGCTCGCAACGGATCCTGGGCGAAGGCTCAAGGCTCATGAGGTGCTGAATCACCCTTGGGTTAGGGCGGCGTGTGGAGGAGAGTGTTGCATCCAAGAGAGAGAGTGGAGGAAGGAAAAGAAGAGGGATGACGGAGAGGGAGTCGTGAGGAAGGGGGATTGTAAGAACGAGAGCAGGAGTGGGAAGGGTCTTACAGCAGAGGGGAAGGTGAGTGGTGGAGTGGTGCATGTGGAAAAGGCGTGTGTGGAAAGCCATTCAGGGGAAGGCGCGGATGGGCAGCATGTGGTGGGGCATGAGGAGCGCTGCCCTGTGTGCCAGGCAAGCAATCCCCATACTTGCTGTCAGACCAGCCATGCTGATGCTGCTGACAGGCTAGTAGTGCAGGAGAAGGTGGGTAAGGGTGCAAGCAGGAACGGGAATTCAGCAGAGATGGAGCAGATGCATGGGCTGGCCAGGGGGGGTGGCAGTGGGAGAAGCATCAGCACTGCAGCGTGTGGGGATGTCGGTCCCACCGTTGGCTCTAATGTTGTCGATTGTTGCACGGTTGACTGTAGCGCGGTTGACTGTAGCGCGGTTGACTGTAGCGCGGTTGACTGTGGCACGGTTGACTGTAGCACGGTTGACTGTAGCACGGTTGACTGTGGCACGGTTCACTGTAGCACGGTTGACTGTAGCACGGTTGACAGTAGTAGTGTAGATTATAGCACCGACATGGACTGTACCGCCATTGTCTGTTGCACAGTTGTCCGTAGCACCACTGACTGTAGCACCACTGACTGTAGCACCACTGACTGTAGCACCACTGACTGTAGCACCACTGACTGTAGCACCACTGACTGTAGCACCACTGACTGTAGCACCACTGAGTGTAGCACCACTGACTGTAGCACCACTGACTGTAGCGCCACTGACTGTAGCGCCACTGACTCTAGTACTTATAACTGTGACAATATTGAGTGTGGCACTGCTGACTGTAGCAGTGGTTGTAATGGGGTTGGTGACACTGCCATTTTGAGTGGCAACGGTGGTGCTGACAGGGGCAGTGGTGGCACTGGTGGTGATAGTTGTGGCAGCTGCAGCAGATGTGGCAGCAGTGGCAGCTGCAGCTGCACTGGCTGCAGCGGCAGACAATGGCGATGTGCCGAGAGTGCAGACAGTGACAGGGGTTACATCAAAAGCTCGATTTGCAGCAAGGGCGGAAGCAACAGTGGCTGCAGTCCCAGTCACCATGCTTGGAGGATGAATGGAAAGAAGAATATATATTTCGGCACCGGAGGCTGCAATGGTAGCAACGGTGGCAGCGGTGGCAGCAGTGGTGGCAGGAGGATGCAAGGTAGTATGCACCAGAAACAGATGTCATGTGGTTTGCGTGCACTATTACATGGCTCTGCTCTATGCTGTGTTGGTGGTTGCAGCCAGTTGCCATGGGTTGCCTTGAGTGTACAGATAGCAAGCTGTGTTATGCAGTTAGGGAGTTGTGCGTGTGTAACATTTGTACATTCCTCTGTTCTCCCAGCTGGTATTGGGTGAGTTGAGTATAATCAAGCCAGCTGTTGCTTGTGTTCAATAGAGTTCAATAAGGTATTATTTTTTAATCGCTTAGAAAATTTGTGCAAGTGGTTGCATTTGTTGATAATCAGGTCGTTGTTTTTCTCCCCTTGGTGTAATGCACCGGATGTTGCTAAGCAAGAAAATTGAGACAACGAGTTGCATGCACTGTATTAGAATAAAGATATACAGACTCTATATAACATGCAACTCTATTGCGTCACGGGAACACCGCTATCGGTTGGGCGCGTCTGTTGCTTGGTTGGCAAGGGCTGGTCATTCTTCTTGTGCTTACGTTTCATGTATCACACTGTTCAGTTTGGTGAAAAGCGGTTCAGAGCGCCTGAGAAAACAAACCGCTGTGCATTGCACAGCATTGTACTCTACCGCTTATTATGAACTGTAAGCACACTATACGTGAACCACCCCAGTCCACAATTTTCCAGACCCTCGGCTGAACTGCTTGGGTGGCTGTTAGGACGACGATGGCAAGCCATTTTTGAGACGCCTTCTTTGTATTTATCGTTTTGAGCTAGACGATGTGCGTCCGACTTCTGACGCGATCGGAACCATGTCCGCGCGGGATGGGACAATCCCGAATGGCGCGTCCTGACCACAGCGGTCAAGACGCCCATTAGAACATGCTTTAATGTCATCTTGACCTTCCCTCGTTTTGGTCACTCTTGCTTGAACGCATCTCGACCTCCCGTGAACGCACCGTACGATTATTTTAGCCTCGATCCCATCATCTTGATTTCAGTTGTTCTGCGCGCTCAGCTCGCCTTCCTCCCCACTGCCGGTGTTTCCCTCGTCGTTCCTAGGTCCAAGGCAGCGAAGCCATGTCGACGACGAGTTCGCAACAGGCTGGAAGTGTTCGCAAGGGAAGGTACATTGTAATTGCGGGGCGGCCTTGCAAGGTATACGATGAGGGAAATGTTCAGCTGTATCAGTGCAGCGAGATTGCTCGCTTCCGCTTGTCCATTCTTTCCCGCGAAATGGTAGCTTTCTTGGCCGCTGATGTTTCGCGTTCTTTCTCATACGGTATTTTCATGATCGAAATTCCACAGGTGGTGGAAGTTACTACCTCTCTTACGACGAACGGTCACAAGAAGTGTCATTTTGTCGCAACTGATTTATTCAACAATGAAAGGCTTGAAGAGTCTGTGCCGGCTGCTCTCAATGTCGAGGTGAGTGGATTTGCACAGCAATCTTCGTTGGTCGTTCGTGCCTGTCACGTTTCTCACGAATGGTTGATGGCTTCCCAGATTCCAACAGTGCTCAAAACGGAATATCGGATTCTCGGCTTGGTGGGGTAAGACAGAGTAAGTGCCGATAGGTTTGTGTCATGTTGTTGTTCCCCGGCGTTTGTTCTTGGCGTCCTAATAATTGGCTTCATGCTGCTTTAGGTATCTCTTATGAACGATGCGGGCGACACGAGGGATGATCTTCGCCTTCCCACCCACGAGCCTCTCCGCTCACAGGTATCCACTGGACGCCCGTATATTCTCTCTTGCGCCATGTGTTTCATGGCGTGCCCAATCATGGCATGTGTTTCATGGCGTGCCCAATCATGGCATGTATTGCATGGCGTGCCCAATCATGGCATGTGTTTCATGGCGTGCCCAATCATGGCATGTGTTTCATGGCGTGCGCAATTCCACGTTTGGATGTTCGTGCAGATCACCGCCTGCTGTGCAGAAGACAAGGAGCTTGTCGCTATTGTATTCAGCGCTATGGATCAGGAGCAGATTTGCGAGGTTAAGGGGGTCGCGTAGTATGATATTTCGATGTGCTCGCATCGCATGACATTCCTTTCTTCATTGTTGATGCTGAAGGCAATTGGATATTGGGTTTGTTGAACCAGTTACAGCTGAACCTTGTTATTTCATGATGTGTATTAAGATTAGAACAGAGTGCGTGGAACAAGGCAATGATTAGTTTGCAAATCCATAGTTGTTGACACATGGGATGTTGATATCTTGCACAGGCCAGCACCAGGTTGAGTTGAGGGTGGATGCTAGTGTCACTGCAAATGGCATCATTGCCTGCAGGGGCCGGTGGGCGTCCAGAGACTAACACAACTCTCCACGGCAACAGTCCCTTGCTGTGACAAGCATGGCAGCCCCTGCTGTGACAAGCATGGCAGCCCTTGCTGTGACAAGCATGGCAGCCCTTGCTGTGACAAGCATGGCAGCCCTTGCCATGTCACACATGCCCCCTGCTTGCCCATGGTGCGAGCAGGGCGCGCTGCTGCTTGCATGGGCGAGGAGTCAGTGGGTGACTAGAGGCGAGGCGAACCATCTGGGGGCAGGCAGCACAGGGAGAGGGCAGCACATGGCAGAACATGGCTAGAAACGAGACATACTAAGCACAGAAGAAAACATCATGGGCAAACCAAGGTCGCCACCTAGAATATTCACACAAGCTGCAGAGGCACCGTGAGTTGCTGCCCTCCCATCTCCCACCCTCCCACCCTCCCATTGCCCACCCTCCCACCCTCCCATCGCGCACCCTCCAAGCCTCCCACCCTACCATCGCCCACCCTCATGTCTCCCACCCTCCCATCTCCCACCCTCCCATCGCCCACCATCCCGTCTCCCACCCTCCCATCTCCCACCCTCCCATCGCCCACCCTCCCATCGCCCAAGCTACTTGGGGTCGGTGTCTGACAGCCATGCCCATGACCAGCAGAGAGCGCTCCTCTGCTTGTGCTTCCTCTGCTTGCGCTTCCTCTACTTGTGCTTCCCCTGCTTGTGCTTCCTCTACTTGCGCTTCCTCTGCTTGCGCTTCCTCTGCTTGCGCTTCCTGTGCTTGTGCTTCCTCTGCTTGCGCTTCCTCTGCTTGTGCTTCCTCTGCTTGTGCTTCCTCTGCTTGTGCTTCCTCTGCTTGCGCTTCCTCTGCTCGTGCTTCCTCTTCTTGCGCTTCCTCTGCTTGTGCTACCTCTGCTTGTGCTTCCTCTGCTTGTGCTTCCTCTGCTTGTGTTTCCTCTGCTTGTGCTTCCTCTGCTTGTGCTTCCTCTGCTTGTGCTTCCTCTGCTAGCGCTTCCTCTGCTTGTGCTTCCTTAGCTTGTGATTCCTCTGCTTGCGATTCCTTTGCTTACGCTTCCTTTGCTTGTGCTTCCTCTGCTTGTGCTTCCTCTGCTTTCGCTACCTCTGCTTGTGCTTCCTATGCTTGTGCTTCCTCTACTTGTGCTTCCTATGCTTGTGCTTCCTCTACTTGTTCTTCCTTTGCTTTCGCTACCTCTGCTTGTGCTTCCTATGCTTGTGCTTCCTCTGCTTGTGCTTCCTATGCTTGTGCTTCCTCTGCTTGTGCTTCCTATGCTTGTGCTTCCTCTGCTTGTGCTTCCTGTGCTTGCGCTTCCTCCGCTTGTGCTCCCTCTGCTTGCGCTTCCTCTGCTTGTTCTTCCTCTTCTTGCGCTTCCTCTGCTTGTGCTTCCTCTGCTTGTGCTTCCTCTGCTTGTGCTTCCTCTACTTGTGCTTCCTTTGCTTGTGCTTCCTCTGCTTGTGCTTCCTCTGCTTGTGCTTCCTCTACTTGTGCTTCCTCTGCTTGTGCTTCCTCTGCTTGTGCTTCCTCTGCTTGTGCTTCCTCTGCTTACGCTTTCTCTACTTGTGCTTCCTCTGCTTGTGCTTCCTGTGCTTGCGCTTCCTCTGCTTGTGCTTCCTCTGCTTGCACTTCCTCTGCTTGCGCTTCCTCTGCTTGTGCTTTTGACGCTCGCGCTTCCTCTGCTCATGCTTCCTCTGCATGTGCTTCCTCTGCTTGCGCTTCCTCTGCTTGCGCTTCCTCTGCTTACGCTTCCTCTGTTTGCGCTTCCTCTGCTTCTTCTTCCTGTGCTTGCGCTTCCTCTGCTTGCGCCTCCTCTGCTTGTGCTTCCTCTGCTTGTGCTTCCTCTGCTTGCGCTTCCTCTGCTTGTGCTTCCTCTACTTGCGCTTCCTCTGCTTGTGCTTCCTCTGCTTGCGCTTCCTCTGCTTGTGCTTCCTCTGCTTGCGCTTCCTATGCTTGTGCTTCCTCTGCTTGCGCTTCCTCTGCTTGTGCTTCCTCTGCTTACGCTTCCTTTTCTTGTGCTTCCTCTGCTTGCGCTTTCTCTGCTTGCGCTTCCTCTGCTTGTTCTTCCTCTGCTTGCGCTTCCTCTGCTTGCGCTTCCTCTGCTTGCGCTCCCTCTCCTTGTGCTTCCTCTGCTTGCGCTTCCTCTGCTTGCGCTTCCTCTGCTTGTGCTTCCTCTGCTTGTGCTTCCTCTGCTTGTGCTTCCTCTGCTTGTGCTTCCTCTACTTGTGCTTCCTCTGCTTGTGCTTCCTCTGCTTACGCTTCCTCTTCTTGCGCTCCTCTGCTTGCGCTTCCTCTGCTTACGCTTCCTCTGCTTGCGCTTCCTCTGCTTGCGCTTCCACTGCTTACGCTTCCTCTACTTGCGCTCCTCTGCTTGCGCTTCCTATGCTTACGCTTCCTCTGCTTGCGCATCCTCTCCTTGCGCTTCCTTTGCTTGTGTTTCCTCTGCTTTTGCTTCCTCTGCTTGCGCTTCCTCTGCTTGCGCTTCCTCTGCTTGCGCTTCCTCTGCTTGTGCTTCCTCTGCTTACGTTTCCTCTCCTTCTGCTTCCTCCGCTTGCACTCCTCTGCTTGTGCTTCCTCTGCTTGTGCTTCCTCTGCTTGCGCTCCTCTGCTTGTGCTACCTCTGCTTGCGCTTCCTCTACTTGCGCTTCCTCTGCTTGTGCTTCCTGTGCTTGTGCTTCCTCTTCTTTCGCTTCCTCAGCTTGTTCTTCCTCTGCTTGCGCTTCCTTTGCTTGTGCTTCCTCTATATGCGCTTCCTCTGCTTTTGCTTCCTCTGCGTGTGCTTCCTGTGCTTGTGCTTCCTGTGCTTACGCTTCCTCTGCTTGCGCTTCCTCTTCTTGTTCTTCCTCTGCTTGCGCTTCCTCTGCTTGCGCTTCCTCTGCTTGTGCTTCCTGTGCTTGCGCTTCCTCTGCTTGTGCTCCCTCTGCTTGCGCTTCCTCTGCTTGTGCTTCCTCTGCTTGTGCTTCCTCTGCTTGTGCTTCCTCTGCTTGTGCTTCCTTTGCTTGTGCTTCCTCTGCTTGTGCTTCCTCTGCTTGTGCTTCCTCTGCTTGCGCTTCCTCTGCTTGTGCTTCCTTAGCTTGTGATTCCTCTGCTTGCGATTCCTTTGCTTACGCTTCCTTTGCTTGTGCTTCCTCTGCTTATGCTTTCTCTGCTTGCGCTTCCTCTGCTTGTGCTTCCTGTGCTTGCGCTTCCTCTGCTTGTGCTTCCTTTGTTTGCACTTCCTCTGCTTGCGCTTCCTCTGCTTGTGCTTTTGACGCTCGCGCTTCCTCTGCTCATGCTTCCTCTGCATGTGCTTCCTCTGCTTGCGCTTCCTCTGCTTGCGCTTCCTCTGCTTGCGCTTCCTCTGCTTACGCTTCCTCTTTTTGCGCTTCCTCTGCTTCTTCTTCATGTGCTTGCGCTTCCTCTGCTTGCGCTTCCTCTGCTTGTGCTTCCTCTGCTTGTGCTTCCTCTGCTTGCGCTTCCTCTGCTTGTGCTTCCTCTGCTTGCGCTTCCTCTGCTTGTGCTTCCTCTGCTTGCGCTTCCTCTGCTTGTGCTTCCTCTGTTTGCGCCTCCTATGCTTGTGCTTCCTCTGCTTGCGCTTCCTTTGCTTGTGCTTCCTCTGCTTACGCTTCCTTTTCTTGTGCTTCCTCTGCTTGCGCTTTCTATGCTTGCGCTTCCTCTGCTTGTTCTTCCTCTGCTTGCGCTTCATCTGCTTGCGCTTCCTCTGCTTGCGCTTCCTCTCCTTGTGCTTCCTCTGCTTGCGCTTCCTCTGCTTGCGCTTCCTCTGCTTGTGCTTCCTCTGCTTGCGCTACCTCGGCTTGTGATTCCTCTGCTTGCGCATCCTCTGCTTGTGCTTCCTCTGCTTGTGCTTCCTCTGCTTGTACTTCCTCTTCTTGTGCTTCCTCTGCTTGTGCTTCCTCTACTTGTGCATCCTCTGCTTGTGCTTCCTCTGCTTGTGCTTCCTCTGCTTGTGCTTCCTCTACTTGCGCTTCCTCTGCTTACGCTTCCTCTGCTTGCGCTCCTCTGCTTGCGCTTCCTCTGCTTACGCTTCCTCTAGTGTGATAGTTGTGGCAGCTGCAGCAGATGTGGCAGCAGTGGCAGCTGCAGCTGCACTGGCTGCAGCGGAAGTCAATGGCGATGTGCCGAGAGTGCAGACAGTGACAGGGGTTACATCAAAAGCTCGATTTGCAGCAAGGGCGGAAGCAACAGTGGCTGCAGTCCCAGTCACCATGCTTGGAGGATGAATGGAAAGAAGAATATATATTTCGGCACCAGAGGCTGCAATGGTAGCAACGGTGGCAGCGGTGGCAGCAGTGGTGGCAGGAGGATGCAAGGTAGTATGCACCAGAAACAGATGTCATGTGGTTTGCGTGCACTATTACATGGCTCTGCTCTATGCTGTGTTGGTGGTTGCAGCCAGTTGCCATGGGTTGCCTTGAGTGTACAGATAGCAAGCTGTGTTATGCAGTTAGGGAGTTGTGCGTGTGTAACATTTGTACATTCCTCTGTTCTCCCAGCTGGTATTGGGTGAGTTGAGTATAATCAAGCTAGCTGTTGCTTGTGTTCAATAGAGTTCAATAAGGTATTATTTTTTAATCGCTGAGAAAATTTGTGCAAGTGGTTGCACTTGTTGATAATCAGGTCGTTGTTTTTCTCCCCTTGGTGTAATGCACCGGATGTTGCTAAGCAAGAAAATTGAGACAACGAGTTGCATGCACTGTATTAGAATAAAGATATACAGACTCTATATAACATGCAACTCTATTGCGTCACGGGAACACCGCTATCGGTTGGGCGCGTCTGTTGCTTGGTTGGCAAGGGCTGGTAATTCTTCTTGTGCTTACGTTTCATGTATCACACTGTTCAGTTTGGTGAAAAGCGGTTCAGAGCGCCTGAGAAAACAAACCGCTGTGCATTGCACAGCATTGTACTCTACCGCTTATTATGAATTGTAAGCACACTATACGTGAACCACCCCAGTCCACAATTTTCCAGAACCCTCGGCTGAACTGCTTGGGTGGCTGTTAGGACGACGATGGCAAGCCATTTTTGAGACGCCTTCTTTGTATTTATCGTTTTGAGCTAGACGATGCGCGTCCGACTTCTGACGCGATCGGAACCATGTCCGCGCGGGATGGGACAATCCTGAATGGCGCGTCCTGACCACAGCGGTCAAGACGCCCATTAGAACATGCTTTAATGTCATCTTGACCTTCCCTGGTTTTGGTCACTCTTGCTTGAACGCATCTCGACCTCCCGTGAACGCACCGTACGATTATTTTAGCCTCGATCCCATCATCTTGATTTCAGTTGTTCTGCGCGCTCAGCTCGCCTTCCTCCCCACTGCCGGTGTTTCCCTCGTCGTTCCTAGGTCCAAGGCAGCGAAGCCATGTCGACGACGAGTTCGCAACAGGCTGGAAGTGTTCGCAAGGGAAGGTACATTGTAATTGCGGGGCGGCCTTGCAAGGTATACGATGAGGGAAATGTTCAGCTGTTTCAGTGCAGCGAGATTGCTCGCTTCCGCTTGTCCATTCTTTCCCGCGAAATGGTAGCTTTCTTGGCCGCTGATGTTTCGCGTTCTTTCTCATACGGTATTTTCATGATCGAAATTCCACAGGTGGTGGAAGTTACTACCTCTCTTACGACGAACGGTCACAAGAAGTGTCATTTTGTCGCAACTGATTTATTCAACAATGAAAGGCTTGAAGAGTCTGTGCCGGCTGCTCTCAATGTCGAGGTGAGTGGATTTGCACAGCAATCTTCGTTGGTCGTTCGTGCCTGTCACGTTTCTCACGAATGGTTGATGGCTTCCCAGATTCCAACAGTGCTCAAAACGGAATATCAGATTCTTGGCTTGGTGGGGTACGACAGAGTAAGTGCCGATAGGTTTGTGTCATGTTGTTGTTCCCCGGCGTTTGTTCTTGGCGTCCTAATAATTGGCTTCATGCTGCTTTAGGTATCTCTTATGAACGATGCGGGCGACACGAGGGATGATCTTCGCCTTCCCACCCACGAGCCTCTCCGCTCACAGGTATCCACTGGACGCCCGTATATTCTCTCTTGCGCCATGTGTTTCATGGCGTGCCCAATCATGGCATGTGTTTCATGGCGTGCCCAATCATGGCATGTGTTGCATGGCGTGCCCAATCATGGTATGTGTTTCATGGCGTGCCCAATCATGGCATGTGTTTCATGGCGTGCGCAATTCCACGTTTGGATGTTCGTGCAGATCACCGCCTGTTGTGCAGAAGACAAGGAGCTTGTCGCTATTGTATTCAGCGCTATGGATCAGGAGCAGATTTGCGAGGTTAAGGGGGTCGCGTAGTATGATATTTCGATGTGCTCGCATCGCATGACATTCCTTTCTTCATTGTTGATGCTGAAGGCAGTTGGATATTGGGTTTGTTGAACCAGTTACAGCTGAACCTTGTTATTTCATGATGTGTATTAAGATTAGAACAGAGTGCGTGGAACAAGGCAATGATTAGTTTGCAAATGCATAGTTGTTGACACATGGGATGTTGATATCTTGCACAGGCCAGCACCAGGTTGAGTTGAGGGCTGATGCTAGTGTCACTGCAAGTGGCATCATTGCCTGCAGGGGCCGGTGGGCGTCCAGAGACTAACACAACTCTCCACGGCAACAGTCCCTTGCTGTGACAAGCATGGCAGCCCCTGCTGTGACAAGCATGGCAGCCCTTGCTGTGACAAGCATGGCAGCCCTTGCTGTGACAAGCATGGCAGCCCTTGCCATGTCACACATGCCCCCTGCTTGCCCATGGTGCGAGCAGGGCGCGCTGCTGCTTGCATGGGCGAGGAGTCAGTGGGTGACTGGAGGCGAGGCGAACCATCTGGGGGCAGGCAGCACAGGGAGAGGGCAGCACATGGCAGAACATGGCTAGAAACGAGACATACTAAGCACAGAAGAAAACATCATGGGCAAACCAAGGTCGCCACCTAGAATATTCACACAAGCTGCAGAGGCACCGTGAGTTGCTGCCCTCCCATCTCCCACCCTCCCACCCTCCCATCGCCCACCCTCCCACCCTCCCATCGCGCACCCTCCCAGCCTCCCACCCTCCCATCGCCCACCCTCACGTCTCCCACCCTCCCATCTCCCACCCTCCCATCGCCCACCATCCCGTCTCCCACCCTCCCATCTCCCACCCTCCCATCGCCCACCCTCCCATCGCCCAAGCTACTTGGGGTCGGTGTCTAACAGCCATGCCCATGACCAGCAGAGAGCGCTCCTCTGCTTGTGCTTCCTCTGCTTGCGCTTCCTCTACTTGTGCTTCCTCTGCTTGTGCTTCCTCTGCTTGCGCTTCCTCTGCTTGCGCTTCCTCTGCTTGCGCTTCCTGAGCTTGTGCTTCCTCTGCTTGCGCTTCCTCTGCTTGTGCTTCCTCTGCTTCTGCTTCCTCTGCTTGTGCTTCCTCTGCTTGCGCTTCCTCTGCTTGTGCTTCCTCTGCGTGCACTTCGTCCGCTTGTGCTTCCTCTGCTTACGCTTCCTCTGCTTGCGCTTCCTCTGCTTGTGCTTCCTCTGCTTGCGCTTCCTCTGCTTGTGCTTCCTGTGCTTGCGCTTCCTCTGCATATGCTTCCTCTGCTTGCGCTCCTCTGCTTCTGCTTCCTCTCCTTGTGCTTCCTCTGCTTACGCTTCCTCTCCTTGTGCTTCCTTTGCTTGCGCTTCCTCAGCTTGTGCTTCCTCTACTTGCGCTTCCTCTGCTTGTGCTTCCTCTGCTTGCGCTTCCTCTACTTGTGCTTCCTCTGCTTGCGCTTCCTTTGCTTGTGCTTCCTCTGCTTGTGCTTCCTCTGCTTGTGCTTCCTCTGCTTGTGCTTCCTCTGCTTGTGCTTCCTCTGCTTGTGCTTCCTCTGCTTGCGCTTCCTCTACTTGTGCTTCCTCTGCTTGTGCTTCCTCTGCTTGCACTTCCTCTGCTTGTGCTTCCTTTGCTTATGCTTCCTTTGCTTGCGCTTCCTCTACTTGTGCTTCTACTGCTTGCGCTTCCTCTGCTTGTGCTTCCTCTGCTTGTGGTTCCTCTGCTTGCGCTTCCTCTGCTTGCGCTTCCTCTGCTTGCGCTTCCTCTACTTGTGCTTCCTCTGCTTGCGCTTCCTCTGCTTGTGCTTCCTCTCCTTGCGCTTCCTCTGCTTGTGCTTCCTCTGCTTGCGCTTCCTCTGCTTGTGCTTCTTCTGCTTCTGCATCCTCTGCTTGCGCTTCCTCTGCTTGTGCTTCCTCTGCTTGCGCTTCCTCTGCTTGTGCTTCTTCTGCTTGTGCTTCTTCTATTTCTGTCTCCTCTGCTTGCGCTTCCTCTGCTTGTGCTTCTTCTGCTTGTGCTTCCTCTGCTTGTGCTTGGTCTGCTTGTGCTTCCTCTGCTTGCGCTTCCTCTGCTTGCGCTTCCTCTGCTTGCGCTTCCTCTGCTTGTGCTTCTTCTGCTTGTGCTTCCTCTGCTTGTGCTTCCTCTGCTTACGCTTATTCTACTTGCGCTTCCTCTGCTTGTGCTTCCTCTGCTTGCGCTTCCTCTGCTTGCGCTTCCTCTGCTTGTGCTTCCTGTGCTTGGGCTTCCTCTGCTTGTGCTTCCTCTGCTTGCGCTTACCCTGCTTGTGCTTCCTCTGCTTGCGCTTCCTCTGCTTGTGCTTCCTTTGCTTGTGCTTCCTCTGCTTGTACTTCCTCTGCTTGTGCTTCCTCTGCTTGTGCTTCCTCTGCTTGCGCTTGCTTACACTTCCTCTGCTTGCGCTCCTGTGCTTGCGCTTCCTCTACTTACGCTTCCTCTGCTTGCGCTTCCTCTGCTTGCGCTTCCTCTGCTTACGCTTCCTCTACTTGCGCTCCTCTGCTTGCGCTTCCAATGCTTACGCTTCCTCTGCTTGCGCTTCCTCTCCTTGCGCTTCCTTTGCTTGTGTTTCCTCTGCTTGTGCTTCCTCTGCTTGCGCTTCCTCTGCTTGCGATTCCTCTGCTTGCGCTTCCTCTGCTTGTGCTTCCTCTGCTTACGTTTCCTCTCCTTCTGCTTCCTCCGCTTGCGCTCCTCTGCTTGGGCTTCCTCTGCTTGTGCTTCCTGTGCTTGCGCTTCCTCTGCTTGTGCTTCCTCTGCCTGCGCTTCCTCTGCTTGCGCTTTCTCTGCTTGTGCTTCCTCTGCTTGTGCTCCCTCTTCTTTCGCTTCCTCTGCTTGTGCTTCCTTTGCTTGCGCTTCCTTTGCTTGTGCTTCCTCTACATGCGCTTCCTCTGCTTTTGCTTCCTCTGCGTGCGCTTCCTCTGCTTGTGCTTCCTCTGCTCGCGCTTCCTCTGCTTGTGCTTCCTCTTCTTGTGGTTCCTCTGCTTGCGCTTCCTCTGCTTGCGCTTCCTCTGCTTGCGCTTCCTCTGCTTGTGCTTCCTCTGCTTGCGCTTCCTCTTCTTGTGCTTCCTCTCCTTGCGCTTCCTCTGCTTGTGCTTCCTCTGCTTGCGCTTCCTCTGCTTGTGCTTCTTCTGCTTCTGCATCCTCTGCTTGCGCTTCCTCTGCTTGTTCTTCCTCTGCTTGCGCTTCCTCTGCTTGTGCTTCTTCTGCTTCTGTCTCCTCTGCTTGCGCTTCCTCTGCTTGTGCTTCTTCTGCTTGTGCTTCCTCTGCTTGTGCTTGGTTTGCTTGTGCTTCCTCTGCTTGCGCTTCCTCTGCTTGCGCTTCCTCTGCTTGCGCTTCCTCTGCTTGTGCTTCTTCTGCTTGTGCTTCCTCTGCTTGTGCTTCTTCTGCTTACGCTTATTCTACTTGCGCTTCCTCTGCTTGTGCTTCCTCTGCTTGCGCTTCCTCTGCTTGCGCTTCCTCTGCTTGTGCTTCCTGTGCTTGCGCTTCCTCTGCTTGTGCTTCCTCTGCTTGCGCTTACCCGGCTTGTGCTTCCTCTGCTTGCGCTTCCTCTGCTAGTGCTTCCTTTGCTTGTGCTTCCTCTGCTTGTACTTCCTTTGCTTGTGCTTCCTTTGCTTGCGCTTCCTCTGCTTACGCTTCCTCTGCTTGCGCTCCTCTACTTGCGCTTCCTCTGCTTACGCTTCCTCTGCTTGCGCTCCTCTCCTTGCGCTTCCTCTGCTTACGCTTCCTCTAGTTGCGCTTCCTCTGCTTGCGCTTCCTCTGCTTGCGCTTCCTCTGCTTACGCTTCCTCCACTTGCGCTCCTCTGCTTGCGCTTCCTCTGCTTACGCTTCCTCTGCTTGCGCTTCCTCTGCTTGTGCTTCCTCTGCTTGCGCTTCCTCTGCTTGCGCTTCCTCTGCTTGTGCTCCCTTAGCTTGCGCTTCCTCTGCTTGTTCTTCCTCTTCTTGCGCTTCCTCTGCTTGCGCTTCCTCTGCTTGTGCTTCCTTTGCTTATGCTTCCTCCACTTGCGCTCCTCTGCTTGCGCTTCCTCTGCTTACGCTTCCTCTGCTTGTGCTTCCTCTACTTGCGCTTCCTCTACTTGTGCTTCCTCTGCTTGCGCTTCCTCTGCTTGTGCTTCCTCTGCTTGTGCTTCCTCTGATTGTGCTTCCTCTGCTTGTGCTTCCTCTGCTTGTGCTTCCTCTGCTTGCACTCCCTCTGCTTGTGCTTCCTCTGCTTATGCTTCCTCTGCTTGCGCTTCCTCTGCTTGTGCTTCTACTGCTTGCGCTTCCTCTGCTTGTGCTTCCTCTGCTTGTGGTTCCTCTGCTTGCGCTTCCTCTGCTTGCGCTTCCTCTGCTTGCGCTTCCTCTGCTTTTGCTTTCTCTGCTTGCGCTTCCTCTGCTTGTGCTTCCTCTCCTTGCGCTTCCTCTGCTTGTGCTTCCTCTGCTTGCGCTTCCTCTGCTTGTGCTTCTTCTGCTTCTGCATCCTCTGCTTGCGCTTCCTCTGCTTGTGCTTCCTCTGCTTGCGCTTCCTCTGCTTGTGCTTCTTCTGCTTCTGTTTCCTCTGCTTGCGCTTCCTCTGCTTGTGCTTCTTCTGCTTGTGCTTCCTCTGCTTGTGCTTGGTCTGCTTGTGCTTCCTCTGCTTGCGCTTCCTCTGCTTGCGCTTCCTCTGCTTGCGCTTCCTCTGCTTGTGCTTCTTCTGCTTGTGCTTCCTCTGCTTGTGCTTCCTCTGCTTACGCTTATTCTACTTGCGCTTCCTCTGCCTGTGCTTCCTCTGCTTGCGCTTCCTCTGCTTGCGCTTCCTCTGCTTGTGCTTCCTGTGCTTGCGCTTCCTCTGCTTGTGCTTCCTCTGCTTGCGCTTCCCCTGCTTGTGCTTCCTCTACTTGCGCTTCCTCTGCTTGTGCTTCCTCTGCTTGTGCTTCTTCTGCTTGTACTTCCTCTGCTTGTGCTTCCTCTGCTTGTGCTTCCTCTGCTTGCGCTTCCTATGCTTACGCTTCCTCTGCTTGCGCTCCTGTGCTTGCGCTTCCTCTGCTTACGCTTCCTCTGCTTGCGCTTCCTCTGCTTGCGCTTCCTCTGCTTACACTTCCTCTACTTGCGCTCCTCTGCTTGCGCTTCCTATGCTTACGCTTCCTCTGATTGCGCTTCCTCTCCTTGCGCTTCCTTTGCTTGTGTTTCCTCTGCTTTTGCTTCCTCTGCTTGCGCTTCCTCTGCTTGCGCTTCCTCTGCTTGCGCTTCCTCTGCTTGTGCTTCCTCTGCTTACGTATCCTCTCCTTCTGCTTCCTCCGCTTGCGCTCCTCTGCTTGTGCTTCCTGTGCTTGCGCTTCCTCTGCTTGTGCTTCCTCTGCCTACGCTTCCTCTGCTTGCGCTTCCTCTGCTTGTGCTTCCTCTGCTTGTGCTCCCTCTTCTTTCGCTTCCTCTGCTTGTGCTTCCTTTGCTTGTGCTTCCTTTGCTTGTGCTTCCTCTACATGCGCTTCCTCTGCTTTTGCTTCCTCTGCGTGCACTTCCTCTGCTTGTGCTTCCTCTGCATGCGCTTCCTTTGCTTGTGCTTCCTCTACATGCGCTTCCTCTGCTTTTGCTTCCTCTGCGTGCGCTTCCTCTGCTTGTGCTTCCTCTGCTTACGCTTCCTCTGCTTGCGCTTCCTCTGCTTGTGCTTCCTCTGCTTGCGCTTCCTCTGCTTGCGCTTCCTCTGCTTGTGCTCCCTCAGCTTGCGCTTCCTCTGCTTGTCCTTCCTCTTCTTGCGCTTCCTCTGCTTGTGCTTCCTCTGCTTGTGCTTCCTCTGCGTGTGCTTCCTCTGCTTGTGCTTCCTCTGCTTGTGCTTCCTCTGCTTGTGCTTCCTCTGCTTGTGCTTCCTCTGCTTGCGCTTCCTCTGCTTGTGCTTCCTTAGCTTGTGATTCCTCTGCTTCCGATTCCTTTGCTTACGTTTCCTTTGCTTGTGCTTCCTCTGCTTACGCTTTCTCTGCTTGCGCTTCCTCTGCTTTTGCTTCCTGTGCTTGCGCTTCCTGTGCTTGTGCTTCCTCTGCTTGCACTTCCTCTGCTTGCGCTTCCTCTGCTTGTGCTTTTGACGCTTGCGCTTCCTCTGCTCATGCTTCCTCTGCATGTGCTTCCTCTGCTTGCGCTTCCTCTGCTTGCGCTTCCTCTGCTTACGCTTCCTCTGTTTGCGCTTCCTCTGCTTCTTCTTCTTGTGCTTGCGCTTCCTCTGCTTCCGCTTCCTCTGCTTGTGCTTCCTCTGCTTGTGCTTCCTCTTCTTGCGCTTCCTCTGCTTGTGCTTCCTCTGCTTGCGCTTCCTCTGCTTGTGCTTCCTCTGCTTGCGCTTCCTCTGCTTGTGCTTCCTTTGCTTGCGCTTCCTATGCTTGTGCTTCCTCTGCTTGCGCTTCCTCTGCTTGTGCTTCCTCTGCTTACACTTCCTTTTCTTGTGCTTCCTCTGCTTGCGCTTCCTCTGCTTGCGCTTCCTCTGCTTGTTCTTCCTCTGCTTGCGCTTCCTCTGCTTGCGCTTCCTCTGCTTGCGCTTCCTCTCCTTGTGCTTCCTCTGCTTGCGCTTCCTCTGCTTGCGCTTCCTCTGCTTGTGCTTCCTCTGCTTGCGCTACCTCGGCTTGTGATTCCTCTACTTGCGCCTCCTCTGCTTGTGCTTTCTCTGCTTGTGCTTCCTCTGCTTGTACTTCCTCTTCTTGTGCTTCCTCTGCTTGTGCTTCCTCTACTTGTGCATCCTCTGCTTGTGCTTCCTCTGCTTGTGCTTCCTCTGCTTGTACTTCCTCTACTTGCGCTTCCTCTGCTTACGCTTCCTCTGCTTGCGCTCCTCTGCTTGCGCTTCCTCTGCTTACGCTTCCTCTAGTTGCGCTTCCTCTGCCTGCGCTTCCTCTGCTTACGCTTCCTCCACTTGCGCTCCTCTGCTTGCGCTTCCTCTGCTTACGCTTCCTCTGCTTGCGCCTCCTCTGCTTGCGCTTCCTCTGCTTGTGCTTCCTCTGCTTGTGCTTCCTCTGCTTGCGCTTCCACTGCTTGCGCTTCTTCTGCTTGTGCTTCCTATGCTTGCGCTGCCTCTATTTGCGCTTCCTCTGCTTGCGTTTCCTTTGCTTGCGCTCTTCTGGTTGTGCTTCCTCTGCTTGCGCTTGCTCTGCTTCTGCTTCCTCTGCTTGCGCCTCCTCTGCTTGTGCTTCCTCTGCTTGCGCTTCCTCTGCTTGCGCTTCCTCTGCTTGCGCTTTCTCTGCTTGTGCTTCCTCTGCTTGTGCTTCCTTAGCTTGCGCTTCCTCTGCTTGAGCTTCCTCTCCTAGCGCTTCCTCTGCTTGCGCTTCCTCTATTTGCGCTGCCTCTGCTTGCGCTTCCTCTGCTTGCGCTTCCTCTGCTTGCGCTTCCTCTGCTTGGGCTCCTCTGCTTGTGCTTCCTCGTCTTATGCTTCCTCTGCTTGCGCTTCCTCTGCTTGTGCTTCCTCTGCTTGTGCTTCCTCTACTTGCGCATCCTCTGCTTGTTCTTCCTCTACTTGTGCTTCCTCTGCTTGCGCTTCCTCTTCTTGTGCTTCCTCTGCTTGCGCTTCCTCTGCTTGTGCTTCCTCTGCTTGTGCTTCCTCTGCTTGCGCTTCCTCTGCTTGCGCTTCCTCTGATTGTGCTTCCTCAGAGCGCGCTTCCTCTTCTTATGTTTCCTTTGCTTGCGCTTCTTCTGCTTGTGCTTTTATTGCTTATGCTTCCTCCGCTTGCGCTTCCTCTTCTTGTGCTTCTTCTGCTTGTGCTTCCTCTACTTGCGCTTCCTCTCCTTGTGCTTCCTCTGCTTGCGTTTCCTCTGCTTGCGCTTCCTCTGCTTGCGCTTCTCTGCTTGTGCTTCCTCTGATTGTGCTTCCTGTGCTTGCGCTTCCTTTGCTTAGGCTTCCTCTGCTTGCGCTTCCTCTTCTTGCGCTTCCTCTACTTGCCAGGGGGGGTTGCAGTGGGAGAAGCATCAGCACTGCAGCGTGTGGGGATGTCGGTCCCACCGTTGGCTCTAATGTTGTCGATTGTTGAACGGTTGACTGTAGCGCGGTTGACTGTAGCGCGGTTGACTGTGGCACTGTTGACTGTAGCACGGTTGACTGTAGCACGGTTGACTGTGGCACGGTTGACTGTAGCACGGTTGACTGTAGCACGGTTGACTGTAGTAGTGTAGATTATAGCACCGACATGGACTGTACCGCCATTGTATGTTGCACAGTTGTCCGTAGCACCACTGACTGTAGCACCACTGACTGTAGCACCACTGACTGTAGCACCACTGAGTGTAGCACCACTGACTGTAGCACCACTGACTGTAGCGCCACTGACTGTAGCGCCACTGACTCTAGTACTTATAACTGTGACAATATTGAGTGTGGCACTGCTGACTGTAGCAGTGGTTGTAATGGGGTTGGTGACACTGCCATTTTGAGTGGCAACGGTGGTGCTGATAGGGGCAGTGGTGGCACTGGTGGTGATAGTTTTGGCAGCTGCAGCAGATGTGGCAGCAGTGGCAGCTGCAGCTGCACTGGCTGCAGCGGCAGTCAATGGCGATGTGCCGAGAGTGCAGACAGTGACAGGGGTTACATCAAAAGCTCAATTTGCAGCAAGGGCGGAAGCAACAGTGGCTGCAGTCCCAGTCACCATGCTTGGAGGATGAATGGAAAGAAGAATATATATTTCGGCACCGGAGGCTGCAATGGTAGCAACGGTGGCAGCGGTGGCAGCAGTGGTGGCAGGAGGATGTAAGGTAGTATGCACCAGAAACAGATGTCATGTGGTTTGCGTGCACTATTACATGGCTCTGCTCTATGTTGTGTTGGTGGTTGCAGCCTGTTGCCATGGGTTGCCTTGAGTGTACAGATAGCAAGCTGTGTTATGCAGTTAGGGAGTTGTGCGTGTGTAACATTTGTACATTCCTCTGTTCTCCCAGCTGGTATTGGGTGAGTTGAGTATAATCAAGCCAGCTGTTGCTTGTGTTCAATAGAGTTCAATAAGGTATTATTTTTTAATCGCTGAGAAAATTTGTGCAAGTGGTTGCACTTGTTGATAATCAGGTCGTTGTTTTTCTCCCCTTGGTGTAATGCACCGGATGTTGCTAAGCAAGAAAATTGAGACAACGAGTTGCATGCACTGTATTAGAATAAAGATATACAGACTCTATATAACATGCGACTCTATTGCGTCACGGGAACACCGCTATCGGTTGGGCGCGTCTGTTGCTTGGTTGGCAAGGGCTGGTCATTCTTCTTGTGCTTACGTTTCATGTATCACACCGTTCAGTTTGGTGAAAAGCGGTTCAGAGCGCCAGAGAAAACAAACCGCTGTGCATTGCACAGCATTGTACTCTACCGCTTATTATGAACTGTAAGCACACTATACGTGAACCACCCCAGTCCACAATTTTCCAGACCCTCGGCTGAACTGCTTGGGTGGCTGTTAGGACGACGATGGCAAGCCATTTTTGAGACGCCTTCTTTGTATTTATCGTTTTGAGCTAGACGATGCGCGTCCGACTTCTGACGCGATCGGAACCATGTCCGCGCGGGATGGGACAATCCCGAATGGCGCGTCCTGACCACAGCGGTCAAGACGCCCATTAGAACATGCTTTAATGTCATCTTGACCTTCCCTTGTTTTGGTCACTCTTGCTTGAACGCATCTCGACCTCCCGTGAACGCACCGTACGATTATTTTAGCCTCGATCCCATCATCTTGATTTCAGTTGTTCTGCGCGCTCAGCTCGCCTTCCTCCCCACTGCCGGTGTTTCCCTCGTCGTTCCTAGGTCCAAGGCAGCGAAGCCATGTCGACGACGAGTTCGCAACAGGCTGGAAGTGTTCGCAAGGGAAGGTACATTGTAATTGCGGGGCGGCCTTGCAAGGTATACGATGAGGGAAATGTTCAGCTGTATCAGTGCAGCGAGATTGCTCGCTTCCGCTTGTCCATTCTTTCCCGCGAAATGGTAGCTTTCTTGGCCGCTGATGTTTCGCGTTCTTTCTCATACGGTATTTTCATGATCGAAATTCCACAGGTGGTGGAAGTTACTACCTCTCTTACGACGAACGGTCACAAGAAGTGTCATTTTGTCGCAACTGATTTATTCAACAATGAAAGGCTTGAAGAGTCTGTGCCGGCTGCTCTCAATGTCGAGGTGAGTGGATTTGCACAGCAATCTTCGTTGGTCGTTCGTGCCTGTCACGTTTCTCACGAATGGTTGATGGCTTCCCAGATTCCAACAGTGCTCAAAACGGAATATCGGATTCTCGGCTTGGTGGGGTAAGACAGAGTAAGTGCCGATAGGTTTGTGTCATGTTGTTGTTCCCCGGCGTTTGTTCTTGGCGTCCTAATAATTGGCTTCATGCTGCTTTAGGTATCTCTTATGAACGATGCGGGCGACACGAGGGATGATCTTCGCCTTCCCACCCACGAGCCTCTCCGCTCACAGGTATCCACTGGACGCCCGTATATTCTCTCTTGCGCCATGTGTTTCATGGCGTGCCCAATCATGGCATGTGTTTCATGGCGTGCCCAATCATGGCATGTGTTGCATGGCGTGCCCAATCATGGCATGTGTTTCATGGCGTGCCCAATCATGGCATGTGTTTCATGGCGTGCGCAATTCCACGTTTGGATGTTCGTGCAGATCACCGCCTGCTGTGCAGAAGACAAGGAGCTTGTCGCTATTGTATTCAGCGCTATGGATCAGGAGCAGATTTGCGAGGTTAAGGGGGTCGCGTAGTATGATATTTCGATGTGCTCGCATCGCATGACATTCCTTTCTTCATTGTTGATGCTGAAGGCAGTTGGATATTGGGTTTGTTGAACCAGTTACAGCTGAACCTTGTTATTTCATGATGTGTATTAAGATTAGAACAGAGTGCGTGGAACAAGGCAATGATTAGTTTGCAAATGCATAGTTGTTGACACATGGGATGTTGATATCTTGCACAGGCCAGCACCAGGTTGAGTTGAGGGCTGATGCTAGTGTCACTGCAAGTGGCATCATTGCCTGCAGGGGCCGGTGGGCGTCCAGAGACTAACACAACTCTCCACGGCAACAGTCCCTTGCTGTGACAAGCATGGCAGCCCCTGCTGTGACAAGCATGGCAGCCCTTGCTGTGACAAGCATGGCAGCCCTTGCTGTGACAAGCATGGCAGCCCTTGCCATGTCACACATGCCCCCTGCTTGCCCATGGTGCCAGCAGGGCGCGCTGCTGCTTGCATGGGCGAGGAGTCAGTGGGTGACTGGAGGCGAGGCGAACCATCTGGGGGCAGGCAGCACAGGGAGAGGGCAGCACATGGCAGAACATGGCTAGAAACGAGACATACTAAGCACAGAAGAAAACATCATGGGCAAACCAAGGTCGCCACCTAGAATATTCACACAAGCTGCAGAGGCACCGTGAGTTGCTGCCCTCCCATCTCCCACCCTCCCACCCTCCCATCGCCCACCCTCCCACCCTCCCATCGCGCACCCTCCCAGCCTCCCACCCTCCCATCGCCCACCCTCACGTCTCCCACCCTCCCATCTCCCACCCTCCCATCGCCCACCATCCCGTCTCCCACCCTCCCATCTCCCACCCTCCCATCGCCCACCCTCCCATCGCCCAAGCTACTTGGGGTCGGTGTCTAACAGCCATGCCCATGACCAGCAGAGAGCGCTCCTCTGCTTGTGCTTCCTCTGCTTGCGCTTCCTCTACTTGTGCTTCCTCTGCTTGTGCTTCCTCTGCTTGCGCTTCCTCTGCTTGCGCTTCCTCTGCTTGCGCTTCCTGAGCTTGTGCTTCCTCTGCTTGCGCTTCCTCTGCTTGTGCTTCCTCTGCTTCTGCTTCCTCTGCTTGTGCTTCCTCTGCTTGCGCTTCCTCTGCTTGTGCTTCCTCTGCGTGCACTTCCTCCGCTTGTGCTTCCTCTGCTTACGCTTCCTCTGCTTGCGCTTCCTCTGCTTGTGCTTCCTCTGCTTGTGCTTCCTCTGCTTGTGCTTCCTGTGCTTGCGCTTCCTCTGCTTGTGCTTCCTCTGCTTGCGCTTCCCCTGCTTGTGCTTCCTCTGCTTGCGCTTCCTCTGCTTGTGCTTCCTCTGCTTGTGCTTCCTCTTCTTGTGCTTCCTCTGCTTGTGCTTCCTCTGCCTGTGCTTCCTCTGCTTGCGCTTCCTCTGCTTACGCTTCCTCTGCTTGCGCTCCTGTGCTTGCGCTTCCTCTGCTTACGCTTACTCTGCTTGCGCTTCCTCTACTTGCGCTTCCTCTGCTTACGCTTCCTCTACTTGCGCTCCTCTGCTTGCGCTTCCTATGCTTACGCTTCCTCTGCTTGCGCTTCCTCTCCTTGCGCTTCTTTTGCTTGTGTTTCCTCTGCTTGTGCTTCCTCTGCTTGCGCTTCCTCTGCTTGTGCTCCCTCAGCTTGCGCTTCCTCTGCTTGTGCTTCCTCTGCTTGTGCTTCCTCTGCTTGTGCTTCCTCTTCTTGTGCTTCCTCTGCTTGTGCTTCCTCTGCTTGTGCTTCCTCTGCTTGTGCTTCCTCTGCTTGTGCTTCCTCTGCTTGTGCTTCCTCTACTTGTGCTTCCTCTGCTTGTGCTTCCTGTGCTTGCGCTTCCTCTGCTTGTGCTTCCTTAGCTTGTGATTCCTCTGCTTGCGATTCCTTTGCTTACACTTCCTTTGCTTGTGCTTCCTCTTCTTACGCTTTCTCTGCTTGCGCTTCCTCTGCTTGTGCTTCCTGTGCTTGCGCTTCCTCTGCTTGTGCTTGCTCTGCTTGCACTTCCTCTGCTTGCGCTTCCTCTGCTTGTGCTTTTGACGCTTGTGCTTCCTCTGCTCATGCTTCCTCTGCATGTGCTTCCTCTGCTCGCGCTTCCTCTGCTTGCGCTTCCTCTGCTTACGCTTCCTCTGTTTGCACTTCCTCTGCTTCTTCTTCCTGTGCTTGCGCTTCCTCTGCTTGCGCTTCCTCTGCTTGTGCTTCCTCTGCTTGTGCTTCCTCTGCTTGCGCTTCCTCTGCTTGTGCTTCCTCTTCTTGCGCTTCCTCTGCTTGTGCTTCCTCTTCTTGCGCTTCCTCTGCTTGTGCTTCCTCTGCTTGCGCTTCCTATGCTTGTGCTTCCTCTGCTTGTGCTTCCTCTGCTTGTGCTTCCTTTGCTTACGCTTCCTTTTCTTGTGCTTCCTCTGCTTGCGCTTCCTCTGCTTGCGCTTCCTCTGCTTGTTCTTCCTCTGCTTGCGCTTCCTCTGCTTGCGCTTCCTCTGCTTGCGCTTCCTCTCCTTGTGCTTCCTCTGCTTGCGCTTCCTCTGCTTGCGCTTCCTCTGCTTGTGCTTCCTCTGCTTGCGCTACCTCGGCTTGTGATTCCTCTTCTTGCGCATCCTCTGCTTGTGCTTCCTCTGCTTGTGCTTCCTCTGCTTGTACTTCCTCTTCTTGTGCTTCCTCTGCTTGTGCTTCTTCTACTTGTGCATCCTCTGCTTGTGCTTCCTCTGCTTGTGCTTCCTCTGCTTGTACTTCCTCTACTTGCGCTTCCTCTGCTTACGCTTCCTCTGCTTGCGCTCCTCTGCTTGCGCTTCCTCTGCTTACGCTTCCTCTAGTTGCGCTTCCTCTACTTGCGCTTCCTCTGCTTACGCTTCCTCCACTTGCGCTCCTCTGCTTGCGCATCCTCTGCTTATGCTTCCTCTGCTTGCGCCTCCTCTGCTTGCGCTTCATCTGCTTGTGCTTCCTCTGCTTGTGCTTCCTCTGCTTGCGCTTCCACTGCTTGCGCTTCTTCTGCTTGTGCTTCCTATGCTTGCGCTGCCTCTATTTGCGCTTCCTCTGCTTGCGTTTCCTTTGCTTGCGCTCTTCTGCTTGCGCTTCATCTGCTTGTGCTTCCTCTGCTTCAGCTTCCTCTGCTTGCGCCTCCTCTGCTTGTGCTTCCTCTGCTTGCGCTTCCTCTGCTTGCGCTTCCTCTGCTTGCGCTTTCTCTGCTTGTGCTTCATCTGCTTATGCTTCCTCTGCTTGTGCTTCCTCTGCTTGCGCTTCCTCTGCTTGTGCTTCCTCTACTTGCGCTTCCTCTTCTTGAGCTTCCTCTGTTTGCGCTTCCTCTACTTGCGCTTCCTCTGCTTGCGCTTCCTCTGCTTGCGCTTCCTCTGCTTGGGCTCCTCTGCTTGTGCTTCCTCTGCTTATGCTTCCTCTGCTTGCGCTTCCTCTGCTTGTGCTTCCTCTGCTTGTGCTTCCTCTACTTGCGCATCCTCTGCTTCTGCTTCCTCTACTTGCACTTCCTTTGCTTGTGCTTCCTCTTCTTGTGCTTCCTCTGCTTGCGCTTCCTCTGCTTGTGCTTCCTCTGCTTGTGCTTCCTCTGCTTGCGCTTCCTCTGCTTGTGCTTCCTCTGCTTGTGCTTCCTCTACTTGCGCATCCTCTGCTTCTGCTTCCTCTACTTGCGCTTCCTCTGCTTGTGCTTCCTCTTCTTGTGCTTCCTCTGCTTGCGCTTCCTCTGCTTGTGCTTCCTCTGCTTGTGCTTCCTCTTCTTGCGCTTCCTCTGCTTGTGCTTCCTCTGCTTGCGCTTCCTATGCTTGTGCTTCCTCTGCTTGCGCTTCCTCTGCTTGCGCTATCTCTGCTTGTTCTTCCTCTGCTTGCGCTTCCTCTGCTTGCGCTTCCTCTGCTTGCGCTTCCTCTCCTTGTGCTTCCTCTGCTTGCGCTTCCTCTGCTTGCGCTTCCTCTGCTTGTGCTTCCTCTGCTTGCGCTACCTCGGCTTGTGATTCCTCTGCTTGCGCATCCTCTGCTTGTGCTTCCTCTGCTTGTGCTTCCTCTGCTTGAACTTCCTCTTCTTGTGCTTCCTCTGCTTGTGCTTCCTCTACTTGTGCATCCTCTGCTTGTGCTTCCTCTGCTTGTGCTTCCTCTGCTTGTACTTCCTCTACTTGCGCTTCCTCTGCTTACGCTTCCTCTGCTTGCGCTCCTCTGCTTGCGCTTCCTCTGCTTACGCTTCCTCTAGTTGCGCTTCCTCTACTTGCGCTTCCTCTGCTTACGCTTCCTCCACTTGCGCTCCTCTGCTTGCGCATCCTCTGCTTATGCTTCCTCTGCTTGCGCCTCCTCTGCTTGCGCTTCATCTGCTTGTGCTTCCTCTGCTTGTGCTTCCTCTGCTTGCGCTTCCACTGCTTGCGCTTCTTCTGCTTGTGCTTCCTATGCTTGCGCTGCCTCTATTTGCGCTTCCTCTGCTTGGGTTTCCTCTGCTTGCGCTCTTCTGCTTGCGCTTCCTCTGCTTGTGCTTCCTCTGCTTCAGCTTCCTCTGCTTGCGCCTCCTCTGCTTGTGCTTCCTCTGCTTGCGCTTCCTCTGCTTGCGCTTCCTCTGCTTGCGCTTTCTCTGCTTGTGCTTCATCTGCTTATGCTTCCTCTGCTTGTGCTTCCTCTGCTTGCGCTTCCTCTGCTTGTGCTTCCTCTACTTGCGCTTCCTCTTCTTGAGCTTCCTCTGTTTGCGCTTCCTCTGCTTGCGCTTCCTCTGCTTGCGCTTCCTCTGCTTGCGCTTCCTCTGCTTGGGCTCCTCTGCTTGTGCTTCCTCTGCTTATGCTTCCTCTGCTTGCGCTTCCTCTGCTTGTGCTTCCTCTGCTTGTGCTTCCTCTACTTGCGCATCCTCTGCTTCTGCTTCCTCTACTTGCGCTTCCTCTGCTTGCGCTTCCTCTTCTTGTGCTTCCTCTGCTTGCGCTTCCTCTGCTTGTGCTTCCTCTGCTTGTGCTTCCTCTGCTTGCGCTTCCTCTACTTGCGCTTCCTCTGATTGTGCTTCCTCTGAGTGGGCTTCCTCTTCTTGTGCTTCCTTTGCTTGCGCTTCTTCTGCTTGTGCTTTTATTGCTTGTGCTTCCTCCGCTTGCGCTTCCTCTTCTTGTGCTTCTTCTGCTTGTGCTTCCTCTACTTGCGCCTCCTCTCCTTGTGCTTCCTCTGCTTGCGTTTCCTCTGCTTGCGCTTCCTCTGCTTGCGCTTCTCTGCTTGTGCTTCCTCTGCTTGTGCTTCCTGTGCTTGCGCTTCCTCTGCTTAGGCTTCCTCTGCTTGCGCTTCCTCTTCTTGCGCTTCCTCTACTTGCCAGGGGGGAGGGAAGTGGGAGAAGCATCAGCACTGCAGCGTGTGGGGATGTCGGTCCCACCGTTGGCTCTAATGTTGTCGATTGTTGCACGGTTGACTGTAGCGCGGTTGATTGTAGCGCGGTTGACTATAGCGCGGTTGACCGTGGCACTGTTTACTGTAGCACGGTTGACTGTAGCACGGTTGACTGTGGCACGGTTGACTGTAGCACGGTTGACTGTAGCACGGTTGACTGTAGCAGTGTAGATTATAGCACCGACATGGACTGTACCGCCATTGTCTGTTGCACAGTTGTCCGTAGCACCACTGACTGTAGCACCACTGACTGTAGCACCACTGACTTTAGCACCACTGACTGTAGCACCACTGACTGTAGCACCACTGACTGTAGCACCACTGACTGTAGCACCACTCACTGTAGCACCACTGAGTGTAGCACCACTGACTGTAGCACCACTGACTGTAGCGCCACTGACTGTAGCGCCACTGACTCTAGTACTTATAACTGTGACAATATTGAGTGTGGCACTGCTGACTGTAGCAGTGGTTGTAATGGGGTTGGTGACACTGCCATTTTGAGTGGCAACAGTGGTGCTCACAGGGGCAGTGGTGGCACTGGTGGTGATAGTTGTGGCAGCCGCAGCAGATGTGGCAGCAGTGGCAGCTGCAGCTGCACTGGCTGCAGCGGCAGTCAATGGCGATGTGCCGAGAGTGCAGACAGTGACAGGGGTTACATCAAAAGCTCGATTTGCAGCAAGGGCGGAAGCAACAGTGGCTGCAGTCCCAGTCACCATGCTTGGAGGATGAATGGAAAGAAGAATATATATTTCGGCACCGGAGGCTGCAATGGTAGCAACGGTGGCAGCGGTGGCAGCAGTGGTGGCAGGAGGATGCAAGGTAGTATGCACCAGAAACAGATGTCATGTGGTTTGCGTGCACTATTACATGGCTCTGCTCTATGCTGTGTTGGTGGTTGCAGCCAGTTGCCATGGGTTGCCTTGAGTGTACAGATAGCAAGCTGTGTTATGCAGTTAGGGAGTTGTGCGTGTGTAACATTTGTACATTCCTCTGTTCTCCCAGCTGGTATTGGGTGAGTTGAGTATAATCAAGCCAGCTGTTGCTTGTGTTCAATAGAGTTCAATAAGGTATTATTTTTTAATCGCTTAGAAAATTTGTGCAAGTGGTTGCATTTGTTGATAATCAGGTCGTTGTTTTTCTCCCCTTGGTGTAATGCACCGGATGTTGCTAAGCAAGAAAATTGAGACAACGAGTTGCATGCACTGTATTAGAATAAAGATATACAGACTCTATATAACATGCAACTCTATTGCGTCACGGGAACACCGCTATCGGTTGGGCGCGTCTGTTGCTTGGTTGGCAAGGGCTGGTCATTCTTCTTGTGCTTACGTTTCATGTATCACACTGTTCAGTTTGGTGAAAAGCGGTTCAGAGCGCCTGAGAAAACAAACCGCTGTGCATTGCACAGCATTGTACTCTACCGCTTATTATGAACTGTAAGCACACTATACGTGAACCACCCCAGTCCACAATTTTCCAGACCCTCGGCTGAACTGCTTGGGTGGCTGTTAGGACGACGTGTCAGAACATATAGCTTACTTGTTTCTGTAGGCTATAGTGGGGTATCCCATAGGGGGTACAACACAATTAGGGTTTCCTATTTGTATTCACTTCACTTCATAGTCATTCACTTCTCGTTCACACTTTCTCATGGAATCAGAGCAGGTCCCTTCTTAGGGCCTGTTCCTAGGGCCCACCGAAGCGCGCCCCGAGGCGCGCATTTTTTTAGCGACCCTCCGTGTCGCCCTCCCCATCGTGCTCCCGCTAAGGCCCCGCGTCGGCCCCACCTAGACCCCGTCGGCTCCTCGTCGGCCCCGCCTAGGCCCCACGTCGGCCCCGCGTAACCCTTCGTCGGCCCCGCTTAGGCCCCACGTCGGCCCCGCGTAGCCCCGCTTAGGCCCGTCGGCCCCGTTTAGGCCCCGCTTTGGCCCCGCGTCGGCCCCGCCTAGACCCCGTCGGTCCCGCGTTGGCCCTGCTTAGGCCCCGTCGGCCCCGCGTTGGCCCCGCTTAGGCCCCGCCGGCCCGCCTAGGCCCCACTTCGGCCCCTCGTCGGCCCCGCCCAGACCTCGTCGGCCCCGCCACGGCCCTACGCCGGCCCCGCTTCAGCTGCTGTCGGCCCCGCTACAGCCCGCCACTGGCCTCGCTACACCCCGCCACTGGCCCCGCTACAGCCTGCCACCGGCCCCACTACGGCCCGCCGTTGGCCCCGCTACAGCCCGCACCGGCCCCTGCTACAGCCCGCCGCCGGCCTAGCTACAGCCCGCCGCCGGCCCAGCTACAGCCCGCCCCCGGCCCAGCTACAGCCCGCCGCCGGCCCAGCTACAGCCCGCCGCCGGCCCAGCTACAGCCCGCCGCCGGCCCCGCTACAGCCCGCCACCGGCCCCTGCTACAGCCCGCCGCCGGCCCAGCTACAGCCCGCCCCGGCCCCGCTACAGCCCGCCGTCGGCCCCGCTACAGCCCTCCCCGCGGCCCCTGCTGCAGCCCGCCGTGCTGCACGTGAGCAGCCCCAGCAGCCCGCGCCGCCCGTGAGCCCCTGAGCCGCCCGAGCCGCCCGAGCCGCCCGAGCCGCCCGAGCCGCCCGAGCCGCCTGAGGAGCCGTGCTGCTGTTCCTGAGCTGTGTTCCTCTGCTGCTGACCTACCCGACTCTCCCAGCCCGGTGAGACTTTCAGCTGCTGCCATGGCCACCCCCAATGTTCTTACTTTTGACGCTGAGGGGAGGGCCATTGACTTTGCCGTCTGGATTGAAGACCTGCAGCTGTACTTACTGTGTGATGCGATAGATGAGGTCTCTCTCTTTGACTTTGTCTCTGGCGCTGTCCCTGCCCCACCTGCTGATGCTGACTCTGCCGTTCGCTCCAAGTGGGCGACCCGCGATGCTGCTGCACGTCTTGCTGTGCGTCGCCACCTCCCTTCCTCTGAGCGTGCCCACTTTAGTCAGTGCAAGACCGCTCAGGCCTTGTACGACGCTGTAGTTGCACGCTACTCCTCCCCTTCCTCCGCTACCCTTAGCCGCCTCATGCTACCGTTTCTCTTCCCTGACCTCGCTTCCTTTCCCACTGTCGCTGACCTCGTTACCCACCTCCGTGCTAGTGACACCCGCTACCGCGCTGCCCTTCCTGCTGAGTTCCGCGCTGCGAACCCTCCTCCCATGTACATCACTCTCTACTTTCTCGTCACCCGTCTCCCTGAGTCCCTTCGTGTCGTTAGGGACCAGTTTCTCTCTGTCTGTCCCACCACTCTCACTGTCGACCTCCTTGAGGAGTCCCTGCTAGCGGCTGAGAAGAGTATTGTCGCTGTAGGGGCCTCTCGGGGTGACCCTCGCACCCCCATCTTTGAGGGGTGTGGTCCTTCCCCCCTGCTGCCCTCTGTCGCCTCTGCCGCTGCGGCCGACCTCGCTGGTTTTGAGTCGGTCGGCGCGGCGTCTGCCCCCAGCGGCAGACGCCGCTCTGGCAAGGGCAAGGGGGGCAAGGGAGCGGGTGGAGCTAGAGGGGGCGGTGGAGGAGGCGGTGGGGGTGGCGGGGGGAGTGGGGGTGGCGGTGGGGGTGGTGGCGGGAGTGGAGGTACTGGTGGCGGCGGTGGAGGCGGAGGTGGCGGCGGAGGTGGTAGCGGAGGAGGCGGTGGGAGCGGTGGGAGCGACGGTCCTGGTGGGGGAGGTGGCGGTGGAGACGGGGGTGGCGGTGGAGGCGGGGGTGGCGGTGGAGGCGGGGGTCGGAGTGGCTCGTCCCAGCGGAGCAGCTCTGGGGGTGGTCAGCGCCAGCAGCAGCAGCAGCAGCAGCCGCAGCAGCAGCCACAGCAGCAGCAGCGCTCTCGCACCGTCCCCGCCCCTCAGCAGCTCCGTGAGTGGTACTTGCAGCGTCAACGTGGTGGTGCGCTTGGTCCCTGCCCCTACGTTCTTCGCACCGGTGACCGTGCAGGGGAGAGGTGTGGAGGCGCCCACACAGCCCGCCGCTGCTTTGGCCGCCTGACCGACGCCTGGCGTCAGCAGTTTCCGGAGGCCGCTGAGATCCCCCGCTGAGGAGAGCTGTCTAGGGCTGGTGTAGCTATTTATGATCTTGATTTTGATGCTATTCTCTCTGCTATGTATGCTGTGACTGGTAGTGATGAGGATGACTGTTACCGGTGTTTCCCGCCCGACCCGGGCATTGGTACTGCCGCGTCAGGTACTAGTGAGGCTGCTGCTCTAGGTGCCAGTGCGTCTGTGCTCTCAGGTGCTGGTGAGTCTGCCCTCTCAGGTACTGTGTCGGCTTCGGCCTCTCACACCTTCACCCTTGACTCTGGAGCGTCTCGCTCCTTCTTTAGGGACCGCACCACTCTCACGCCGCTGAGTCGGCCGGTTGCGGTGTCCCTGGCTGACCCCTCTGGGGGGCCTGTCCTGTCTCGCTTCTCCACTGTCCTCCCGTGTCCGGCGGCCCCCTCTGGCACCCTGACTGGTCTCTACCTCCCCTCGTTCTCGACGAACTTGGTGAGTGGTGCTGACCTCCAGGATGCGGGTGTCCACCAGTTCACCCCTGCTCGTCAGCGGGTGACCCACTGCACGGAGGCGGATACAGGTCGCCACCTGGCTACGTTTACACGTCGGCCAGGGTCGAGCCTGTACACACTGACCACTGCTTCTCCTCCAGGTGCTACGTCTGGTAGGGTCCCTTCGTCTGGTCAGGTGTTTGCTGCAGCGTCCAGGTCTGGTCCTGAGTCTGCCCCCTGCTCGTGTCGTCGTCTGTCTCACGAGACCCTCCTCTGGCACCACCGCCTTGGCCACCCCTCTCTGCTTCGGCTCAGAGGCATGGCCTCGCGAGTCCTTGTGTCTGGTCTTCCCCGGTCTCTCCCTCCCCTTCCTCCGGGCCCTGGCCCTACCTGTGTCCCCTGTGTCGAGGGGCGCCAGCGTGCTGCCCCTCACTCCTCCCAGTTTCCTCCGACAGAGGCCCCGTTGCAGACGCTTCACATGGACGTGTGGGGCCCAGCCCGCGTCCGTGGACAGGGTCAGGAGCGCTACTTCCTGCTGGTGGTTGACGACTACTCGCGTTACACCACAGTCTTTTCCTTGCGCAGCAAGGGTGAGGTCACTGAGGTGTTGATCGACTGGATCCGCGCAGCTCGTCTCCAGCTTCGGAGGAGCTTTGGCTCTGACTTCCCTGTTTTGCGTCTGCACTCGGACAGAGGCGGAGAGTTCTCCTCTGGCCTCCTGAGTGCCTACTGTCGTGCGCGAGGCATCCGTCAGACCTTCACGCTTCCGGACTCACCACAGCAGAATGGGATTGCTGAGCGCCGCATTGGCATGGTCATGAACGTCGCTCGTACGTCCATGATGCATGCGGCTGCTCCCCATTTTCTGTGGCCGTTTGCGGTCAGGTACGCTGCGCACCAGATCAACCTCCACCCCAGGGTCTCTCGACCGGAGACCTCCCCAGCCCTGCTGTGGACGGGGAAGGTTGGCGATGCGTCGGCGTTCCGGGTCTGGGGATCTCGGGCGTTTGTTCGCGACCTGTCTGCGGACAAGCTGTCCCCTCGTGCTTCTCCCTGCGTCTTCCTGGGGTTCCCCCCCGACGCCCCTGGGTGGCAGTTTTACCACCCCACCTCTCGCCGTGTTCTGTCCTCCCAGGACGTCACGTTCGACGAGTCGGTACCCTACTACCGCCTCTTCCCCTACCGCACTCCGTCCCTCCCCCCGTCCCCGCTCTTCTTGGTACCAGGTCCCCCCCCGGTAGTCCCCCTCCCCCCT